TAGTCTCGACTTTACGCACTTTCTACTTATTACTTATGATTTTATTCAACACGCCTATACATAATTACATAATATCTCACATATAAGCGTTATCAAACCTCTCCCTTCACAATTACTCATACCCAACCTTCATTTTTTGAGGGGTAAAGTTACAAACACGCCCATTTGCTCCATTCAAACTCTCGGTCTAGAGATGAAAGAAACCAATTGGACTAAGCCTCTAAACCTCATCATATACCGTCTAAACTTTTTCTATACATACATGTATTAGTGTTTATACACTCATGTAGGTCTACATTTTTAATCAAAGAGTCTGAATTGTGGAAAACCATGGTCTATGTGGCGGTTTGTAGGTCTATGTGCCGGAACAAAACCATGGTCTGTGGCGGTTTGTGGAAAATTTGCAAGTCAAATACCTCCAATTGAAGTGATACTGACACGAGTGGTGTTGGTTGAAATGCATGGGACTTAATCGGGACCAGAAGAGTTTTGAAGAGGGTGATGCGATGGGGTCATCCATATACGGTATTGGTACCCCCAATCTTGTTAGACAATTTGTCCTTGTTGCATTATGGGCAATGTACCTGCTTTCTCTCTCTAGGAATCTGTTATTCATCACTATATATATATATATATATATATATATATATATTGTGAATAAGACAATACAACATTAAGATGGATGATGGGATTTGAAAACTGTATGCACAATACTACCATATTAAACTGTCCCACCTTGATATTTGATTTTGATTCTAGGGCTGTGCAATTTCTTGGGTGGAAGCCACTCAATACCACTTTTTGATGATGTTATCAAATCCAATATATATATATATCAGTATTTCAAAAAAAAAAAAATGATAATTGATTTAAGTCGGTATCCCAGCAATTTCTGGGGTGGAAGCCACTGTATACCACTTTTTGGTGATGTTATCAAATCTAACACATTCAAAAAATTTGGATAATTGATTCAACTCCGTTTTCCATTCATAAGTAACTCAGTCGAGTTCAGTACTCACCGGCTAATAATATATGTGGAAATATTACATATTCATAGTTTAAATACAAAATAAAAGGAGGAGATTTTATAAAACATTCCGAAAATTAGGAAATTTATTTAATAACGGTGGCTTTCTTGCTATTTGACTCAGCTTGCTTCCTCATTGACTTGTCAAGTTTGACAAAATTACTCATATATATATATATATATATATATATATATATATATAGAAAGATTGTCATTATGCTACTTACTTTTATTATTTATTATAAAAGAAAAACTATTATATTCATGCAATCACTTAATATACAAGTCACCTTCTGACTTTACAGATAAGGTGAAGCTGTTTTTGTAGTGTTTCCTAGCGGCCTCACTTCACTCATTCACATATTTTTATAGGAAAAACAGTTCATTAGCTTAAATTAATTTATATTAAAGTCAATATATATAATTATGTACTAATTGTAGCTGTTATCACAGTTTAGAAGATGCATTGGCTGTCCCACTTAGCTACCACATATAGGACACAAACATATATATTATATATGATATTATATATGTGTCTGTATATATAATACTAAGGAAGTGGACTAATTAAAAATGTAAAATTTTAAACTATAACAATAACAACCTTCTTTATGTTATATAAATACTATAATATAATGGAATTAAAGACTAATTAATTTATTCCCATTTTCTATGATTTACATGCGAATATATCCATGCAACTCTCAGACACGTGCTTTGCTTTAATTTGAAGTACGCATGCACGTACTTGTTATGTACAATACTCAGAATAACTATAAATTAATGAGCAACTATATATATATATATATATAAGCAGTATATAACTAATCGCCAGACATTAATTAGTGCATCGCACTGCGACCCTTGCATAACACTCGGAGCCTTGGAAGAAGCTTATATATGTATATAACTATTTAATACAAATACACGCACACACATAATTTAAATTATATATTATTTATAATAACTAAAGAGATAAGTCAAAACGACGAAAATTTGCCAGTTGTTTTGATGCTTTGTTGAACAATTAGTAAAACTAATCACTAATGTCATAATTAATCATGCTTGTATTTTTTTATTTTTTATTTTTGGGTGATCGAGTAATTAATCATGCTTATAATAAGCTCTTATTTTAGATTTTTAAAAATTTTTTTTGGTTTCAACGCCTGCCTACTACAATGGGTTAATATTAGATCTAATACATGAGAAGGCATCGTTGACTCTTTCACAAGTCAACTCGAAAGGAGTTATAGAAGTTCTAGCTCTAGTTATATATGTGTGTGTGTATATATACACACACATGTATATAATGAAATTAAGTAAGCATGGGGAGTTTTTGACATTTGTAGTTTAGTGAGCTTCCTAACATGCATGCTTATGAATTACGTTAATGTTACCCATTTGATTGCATAGGAGCAGCTTCGTGGAAAAACACATTTGCATGTTACCCATGTGTGTGTGTTTGTGTGTATACACACACTATATTTGTTGCATTGAAATGGATAGTCTTTTTTGAATGTTCGTTTGTTAAATTTTTTTTTTCTTGTAAATAAATTGCGCACACATTTTACGACTTGAACCCTTAATCTTGGGAGATGAAAATCATATCACTTAAGTCAAGAATACCGTGATAAATTCCATCAAGGCTAAATCTTAAAAAATAAGTGATAATAGAGTTATTGTAAGTTGGATACTGACTTAACAAAATGTTATTTTACTCATTCAGGGCATGAGTAGTAAATATAGATATGGTTCTTTTCAACATCATATATACATAAATCCTACCTTGGTAAAAACATAGCTGAAATTAAATATGACTGACCCTGAAAAATATATAAGTTGGGGGTAAATTTTTTTAATAATTTCAGTAGGGACAATAATAAAATTTAACACCAACGTGAAATATTTTATTATACACCACAAAAACTTTTCGTGGGTGATATGGACCTTATGCTCTTGAATTTCAGAGGTTTAATTGAACTGCTAAGGATTCAATAAATTTAGTGAGAACCTAATCTATAGCTCTCTTTTCACCATAAGGTCCATGTTTCATGACTAGGTCAGATTGAATTTGCAATAAATATTTGTAATATTATCATTTAGAATTTCTTTAATGTGTATCGTTACTCGTTGGAAGTCTATTGATTGCTGAAATAAAGGTCAAAGAATCCATGAAAATTAGTTGGCACCACGGATCTGATCCGACCCAACAAATTAGAAAAATATGAATCCAATTCGATTCGATTTATGGGATATTTGATTGGATTGGATTGATTTTGCGGATTAGGCTATTCTCAAATAGTTCAATATTGTTAAACCAAGAACAATATCAAAAGAAAGTAAAATCCTTATTGGGTTTGCATTAATATTAATAAGTAATTAATAATTATTCGTTACAATCATTACAATGATGACGTGATTCGACTTTACTTTAAGGAACATGCCCCAAGTGTAATAATCGCCCTCTAAAATGACATTATCGTATCGTGATTTGACCTTATTTTAAGGAACATGCTCAGTGCTTCTCAGAGAGCTTTCTTCTTGTATTTTGTCAGATAAACATATTAATACAAGTTCTCAATTGTCAACTGCAAAATCTTGGGCTTTATCCGAGCCCAAATAAAATGCTTTAGTAAGCTGTGATAACTGATTCGTCAATCCGTGAATGAGCCGATCCGATCCAAGAGTATATGTGTGGCGACCTTGTGGGTGGGTGTGTTGTGGATAGGTGCACAATCCTACATTACCTGAGTGTGAAATGAAAAAGTATTATATATGTAAGGTATGTCACTCTAATTGGTATGACGTCATTTGAGATAAAGCCCAAGAATAAAACCATATGAACTCGGACTCAAAGCGAACAAATATCATATCATATGATGGAGTGAGTCGTTACAATATCGCCCATATCACTCACAAAAAGTTAATTTGATACGTCAATTTGTTAGTCGGATCCAATCCATGTGGATCGGATCATATCTATTGTACTGCTTAAATTGGATCTCAATAATAGCTGTCCTCTGTATTGTGTAGCGCATCAAGTACTAAGTTGAGCTTGAACCATAAGTTCCATTAATACAAGACGAATCAGTGCCCACCATAAAATTTTGTTGGCAAAATGACTTAATGGGCTTCGCTAGAAGTACTTGTGGTTTTTGTTAGGACAAAAATTAACTTTACTAGTTACCCTTGAGAAATAATTCATTAATGGGCTTTTATTGGAAGTACTTGTGGTTTTGTTAGGACAAAAATTAACTTTGGTAGTTAAGTTACCCACGAGCAGTTATTCGTTATAATAGACAACTACAAACACTCCATCAAATTAAAGTGGACCTAATTTGATGGACCTACAATAGAATCAAAAAGCTGATATATGCACCTACGAAAGTGATTAACGTTTGACTCAGTCGAAGCGATCCATTGTTTCATATTTGTATTTGTGTTATTAAGTTGTATTAGGCACAATTTGAGTATTTGTGTTATTAAGTTGTATTAGGCACAATTTGAGGTCCAGGGCTCGACTAGAGCTCACAAACAGGTATAGACTCACAAACACATTCATAAACATAAAGCTTATTGTATAGGTTCACGAACATGTTCATTAAAACACAGATTTGTGTAGGGTGATAAGGACAATCAGATCGGCTCTACCCTCAAAAATTAAATAGAACCGCGGATTTTGAGGGTAACAAGATTCCGTTAGGTCTTTTTGATTACTCAAACAATTTAAAATCCTATTAACCCCACTCTGACAGGGCAGAAATACCCACTATAATGCACCACCTGCATCACGTTTTAGCAACCATGTGAACTTCAGAACCACAGTATTGTGTCAAAAACCTTTTTAGTTTCTCAGGTGATCAAAACCCCACACTCTGATCAACCAAATTAAAAAAATTAAAAATTAAAAATTAAAAAAAAAAAAGGAAATAGATCCTGTTTTCCATTGAAGGAGGAAGAATAAGGGCGAGTCTTAAAAAGAGTCCAAAAAGGACATGATGGAATTGTAAATCATGTGTCTAGGACTTAGTGAAGACAATAAATTAGTTTTGACTTCTCTGTAGGTTCTATATATTTAAACAAATTACAACTTGCCAGTTTCGAGAAAGAAAAAAAAAAAAAAGAGGTACACTCTGGGAAAAAAACCTATTCATCCGAAATTGTGGCCTAAAACAGTTTTTATAAAAACCATAAATATACTAAAGCAGCATCAAAACGACCAGAAAATGCATTGGAATAAACTGGGAGACGAACATGATCTTGTCACAAAACATTAGAGCCCCTTCTTATTCATCCGTGAGCTCCCATAATTCAGCAGATATAGATGCCCTTTTATCTAGGATAGCAACAACTGCAAATAAAGATTAAAACTACTGTTAATATCAGATACCAAAAGAAGAGAGTACATGAATGAATTGGAAGGTCCCAGTTCATGAATATAACCTCTGTCCATAACAAAATTAATCATCCAGGTAATAATAAGATCCAGCAGATTTTTGCTCCCTGTCCTTGGTCGATTCCAGTTTGTTGATTCTCGGGCGAAAATTAGTTGGGTCTCGCCTAAATGTGATGTCCAGATGCTGCATAAACCGTATTCAGAAGAATTTTTACTAACAGAGAGAGAATGTTCCCCAGAAAAGTTTTAAAGGGAAAGAAGGGGACTATCAGCTAATATTGAGCAAGGAAATGATATGTTTTACATCAAATTCATTAAAGTTTTTTAAATCATTATTTCTTTCCTTCTAATAAACAGATGCCAAACAAATAAAAACAAGAAAAGGTGTTAGCAAAGCTTACGGATAAGAAAAGGTTCATTCCAGTCAACAATGACTGAGGCGCATTTGCCGTACAATCCACTGAGGGCCTCCCCTCATAGACAATGACCCTATCTGCCAGATATGTAGCCATTATGAAATCATGCTCCACCACGAATGCAGTCTTCTTCGCATGAAGGATAAATCTTTTAATGACTTTTGAAGCAACAATACGCTGCTCAGAGTCTAGATATGCACTTGGTTCGTCTATCAGATAAATGTCCGCGGGCTGCATGAACCAACAGATTTCAAGTTTAGATTGTGAGCGTGTGTTTCTATATATAAATTCAAAAACAAATATGTATAAACAACGATGATCATCCAAATGATATGCTTTCTGAAAGAAAACATCTTTTGTTTTGATTGTGATTACAAAAACTTCCGACTCAACTTCCCTGCCTGTTTGCTTTGCAAACAAGTCCCCCAAAATACATAAAGAAATAAAGCAACTCCATAAAAACAACAAAACAAAAACCATGTTTACTAAACAATTCAAAAGGCCAAAAGTTTCAACAGTTTCGATCAAAAACAATCACGTTGTGTTTCAGTTACGTTACAAAAAATAATAATATAAATAAATAAATAAATAATTACAAGAGATACAACAAAGCAGAAAGAACGAAAAGGAAAAAACAGAAAATGAAGAGGGAAATGTAGAATAAAGCAAGCATCTCCAAACTGAAGACCAAACCCCTAAGAAAATCAGAAAATTAACTACTCTCAAGAAATCTCCATGTGTGTGTCCAGCAACAGCATTTGGGTTGGTGCTACAACGTTAACCATATAGAAGACCACACAACAGAAAGCCAGGTCCGATAGACTTAAGCCTTCACATGTAGGGACTAAATGAAGCAGGAGAAAGATAATCAATAGGGTCCTGACTGATTCCGAATCAAATACTATAACACAAGCCTCGTCATTATATAAATTAGGTCAGCCTATTCTTTTTCCATTCTTTTCTATAACAATCCATGTCTCATATTATACTTAAATTTAGTATCATTTCTAAATACTTCATACTACATGAATTTTGGTCGGCCTCTTTGTTTCTTACCTTCTGTGCAAATAGAACTACCTTTTCTTACCAATGCATCCATGGGTATGACCAGTATACCCAAGTCCATTTTCGCTAATTTTGTCACTAATAGGTCACTCCTAAATTCCTCCGCACGTCTATTAATCCCATCCATTCTAGTCACTCCTACCAACCATCTTAACATTCTCATTTCAACTACTGAAATGTAATTTTTTTGTTTTAATGCCCAACATTCTCCTCCATATTGTGTAGTTGGCCCAATAACCTTCCTATAGAATTTTCCTTTAAACTTATTTGAATTCATTTTTTACATAGAATACCCCTAGTTGGTCTACATTTAGTCCACCCTACTCCAATCTTACTTATAGCATTGTTATCTATCTCTCCACCTTCTTCTATAATGGACCCTAAATATAAAAAATGACCATCTTACGAAACCCATTGGTCTCGGATTGTGACAGCTATATTGTCCTCGTCTAGTACTTTATTACACTTACATGCCATATATACTGTTTTAGACCTACTAATTTTTAGGCTTTTCGCTTCTTAGACATTTCGCCGTATTTCTAATTTTATTGTTGAGGCTTCCTTAAAAGTATCCAATAGAACTATGTCATAAGCAGACAACATGCACCGTGAAATGTCCTCTTGAATATCCTTTGTTATTTCCTCTAAAACTACTGTAAATAAATGTGGGCCTAATTTCTATAAAGAAACCACTAGTCTCTCCACAATGTAGTACAAACTCTAGTCCTTGTCTAGCTAATATCCTGAATAAGGTTTATATGCTTTGTAGGGGCCTGTTTTCTTTGCAGAGACCCCAAAACTTGCATTCTATGTGAAATATTTGACCATGGGCATTTCGATCAAAAAATAAGCCTCCTGCTATGTGATATTTCTAACATGGAATCACAATGGATAATAAACAAAAAGGGGAGAACATTGAGATTGCATAATTACTTTTTCTCCAAGTGAAATTGAAATCCTGAACCTACCACCATTCTTTTTCGATTTTCCTACTTTTATCTTCCATCACATTCTTTATCTGAATTCTTTATATAATTTTTTTCCTAACCCTAGCAGTATGTCTATTTTCAGCCCTTCCATTTTATTTTAAGTAGATTGATTCTCTGAACAAATACATGAGGATGTAAACCCAGAATTTGGCCCTAGCGCCTCATGAAGCATTAGGTCTAAGGTTCGAATCCTCTTGCATGGAAACAATTCCTTGAGGGAGGGGGTGGGCGAGTATCGACTAGGGAATCTATATATATATATATATATTTGATGATGCCAATCCGGAACAGAACATAGAACTAAAGGAATGGTTTCCACACACTTGTTCCATGCATAATTGCCAGATCATTCTGTCTACAATCTCCCACCCCATGACTTAAGTAACACTCTTCTCATTCCTTAAAGACAAAAAAGATCTACAGGAAGATAAAGCTTACCCAAAATATATATATATATATATATATGTAAAATAAAAAATAAAAATAAAAATAAAAGAAGTAAAGAAAAAGAAAGTAAGTGGCCGATTTTCCGGCATTCTTAATTTACAAATTGGACTACAATCAGTTCAGCACCACCACTGCAGTTCTAGGCCCAATGATAAACCTATGGAATGTGGCACTGATTGCATAGTTAAATGTTATCAGTACAGTATCAGATAAATAAGACATGAACTAGTGCAGGGCGCAGTGCTTTAGCTACAGAAGAAAATTATAATCACAGAGAAAGGAAAAGGAAAATAAAAGGTGACATATTATCTACTTTCCCTTTAAATAGAATAAAGGGTAAAGTGCAATAAATCACCCTCAACTATTGAGGTATTGCAAGAAACCCCCAGAACTACAAGAAACACCCCCTCAACTATGTTTTAGTTGCAATTTAACCCCATCAGTTCAGTTTCTGGTACCAGAAAAGTCAAAAGACCATGTTACCCTTATAAAAATATACAATTTTAATTTTTTATTTTTTTATTTTAAGGCAAATAATGCAATTTTAATCTTTAATCAATTAAGTGTAAACCCCCTTAGTGTAAAACTCATCACTTGTCTAACTCAAATCAAATACATCCCCTCTCTGTGTAAACCTATCACTTTATTAGTCATTTACTATGGGGGTTGTTTTTTAAATGGGGGTATTTGATGCATTAATTTATATCTATACATATACGGTGCTATATCTATATATCTCCATTTCCACATCTATCGCCACTGTCGACAGTTACACATTGCGTCGCAGGGCCGCTGCAGATCAATGCTGCCATCGTTGCCGCCGCAAATCTATGCAATAAAACCCACCAGCAGCCCAATTGCGTCACCACCACCGTTCCACCCCCAACCACCAACAACAATAATATATCCCAACGAATTAACCACCACCACAACTTGGGCCGTCACCACCGCCATCCTCACCCTCAACCACTGCCTCAGACTGTCACCACGGCAGCCGCTTCAGATCGTTTAGGCAAATGACCACCACATCTACACAACAAAACCACCACACCCAAATCGGCGTCACCACCATATCTACACAACAAAACCCACCACAACCAAATCGGCATCGCCGCCACCATTCCCGCTCCACAACCACCAGCAACAACTCTATATTCCGGTAAATTAACCACCACCGCCATCCTCTCCCCCACAACCTTCGGCACATCCCATAAGGATCACCACCAAAAACTTTCTAGCAGACAGTGGTTCCCATAGCCGACAGTTAGGAGAGAGAGTAAAGGTTGAGAGAGACAATACTTGAGTAGTGGGTTGACAAATAGGAGACGAATCGCGCTTTCAGGCCGACGATTTAGGGATTGAAGGTAACTGAGTTAGGTGGTGTTTGGCTCTACGGGTAACAAAGAAGGATACAATTGTTCTTCAATATTCAAAAGGGCAGTATGGTCATATAAATGCAAGATGTGTGTCACGTGACAGCACGTGATGTTTTTAACTGCCGGAGCATTGCCGGATGGGGCAAACTGTAACAAAAATGTATAGCTTAGGGAATTTATTGCAACTTTTGTAGTTCAAGGGGGTTTGTTGCAAATTGACCAATAGTTCAAGGGGGTTTATTGCATTTTACCCTAGAATAAATAATTAGATATTGTTTAATTGCATTGGCTTTCAGTAGATCCATCTCTTAACTCTTATTTCTACCATTCTCTCTCACTTTATATGCGTGCACATGCATATGTATATTATTTGCTACTTTTAAAAATTCATTGAGCTCCAGTTGATTCTTTTTTCCGCAAGTTTGAGCAAAAAATTGGATTTTAATTTACCAAATGCCATGACTAATTTAATTTCTCGGGAACCTCATGCGAGTCTCAAAGAATTATGATTGTGAGGTCAATGACAAGTGTTGGGTGGGGGTCAGGGATAGGAAGGTTTGGGGAGACCTGTCACAGGTATGGCACTTGAACAGGATGGGAGTTCTCTATGCCAAGATGGGTCCAGATGGTGCCTGTCTGATACCCAACCTGTCACTACACTAAGCCAAAATTGGTCAAGTTAACAAAGCTATCAACATAGCAACTGTCAGCAAAAAATGCACCACGGCGACGGCAAAAAATACACAACAATGACAAATATTTACCTTCCCAAGGCAAAGACACAATGCAACTCTTTGCAACTCCCCACCAGAAAGATTTACAACTTCTTGATCCATTAATTGCTCAATTTGAAGAGGCTTCATGACGTCTGACACAAACTGAGGGTGCATATATGAATCGCGTATTTTTTGATGGAGTAGGTGCCTGACTGAAGCTGGAAATCTTGGGCTGATCTTTTGGGGCTTGTAAGAAACATTGAACTCAGGAATCTCGACATCAGAATCTTCAACGGTATCGGGCTTCAATAAACCAGCCTGCAGTTTTGACCAGTAAAACAGCTCAGGCCTTCGTGGTATGTAATAACTAAAACAACCATTCATTTTAAGGAAAAACAAAATGACAAAAATAATACCAGCATGCGAATAAATGTTGTCTTCCCAGTCCCATTCTCACCAAGCATTACAATAATCTGAGAATCAGTAAATTCACCCTCTATCACACGAAGCTTAAAATTACCCTGAGTTTTACTCATCGTTGGGTATTTGTATCGTGCATATGTTTCAATTTCCTCGGCACTTTCCTGCGGAGTCTCAGCAACCTGGGGGAGAACAAAAGTAAAGTAAATAGTACCACAGCTGTGTTAAGACACTCCATATATTTGACAATTTTACCTTAAAAGTAAGAGATTCATCCCGAAAACGCAGGTTCTCTGTGGGAACAAATCCGGCCAAAAATATATTAATTCCTTCTCTGACAGAAAAGGGAAGGGTTACAACTCCATACGCGCCAGGCTTCCCATAGAGGCAGCAAATGAAATCAGACAAGTAATCTAAGACACTAAGGTCATGCTCCACGACAATTACATAGCTGAAAGTGCCAACAACACACATAATTAGTTTTGAAACCTCAAAAAAGGTAAACAAAATACGTAAAGCCTCAATACAATATGAAATAGCTATGAAGTAAACCTATTTGGCCTGAGCAATGATCGGACAACTTGAGCAGCTTTAAGCCTCTGTTTGACATCGAGATAACTTGAAGGTTCATCAAACATATATATCTCAGCATTCTGGATGGCAACGACCGCAATAGCAAATCTCTGCAGCTCCCCACCAGACAAATCCCCTACATTACGGTCAATAACCTGGTTGAGCTGAAGATCATGACATAGTTCTTCCTTCATATCTCTCTCATCTTTTTGTTCAAGCACTTGCCCAACATTGCCTTGAACTGCTTTTGGAATGTGATCAACGTATTGGGGCTTGATAATTGCCTATTGAGCAAAAATATACATCTTGAATGGGAGAAGTAAAAATATGCTTTGAAAAATATAGTGATTGATGTCATGAACATATAGACGACCAACATTTTACAGACAATATGGCCTATCCTCAGTGACCCAGTTGCAAGTAATTGCATAAGACGCTCAGATGAACACTGATACAACTAGATATCAGAATTACGAATAAACATAAGCTGATAGTTTCAAATGCAAAAACAAAATACCAGATATGTGGGGAGAAAAAAGAAATAAGAAGAAGAGCTATAGAAACTATGACTATTGCTATAAAAACAATTATTATTTCTGAAAGAAAATTAGTTCGGTGAAATAGGTAAATTGGGTAGTTTTTAAACATAATTAGATAATAAATTGCAGAAACCCCACCAGAGTGACCCATTAATCCAGTATATATCTACACACACACGTATTGCCATTCCAATTGATGTGAGTTCTATTCATTGCATGTAAAGACTACACACTTTTCTTTAATGGCAGACATTGAGCTTTTAGCTTAAGTAGTATGTCCTCATCTTTTCATATGGGAGGTTGAGGGTTCAAGTCACCTATGAGTACGGTGGCATAGTGAGTGTGTGCGTTGAATTGTTGTTGCGGCTTACTAAGAAAAAAAACAAAAAACAAATCTGTAATGGCATGGAATTGTTTCTAAGTATGTAATTGTTTCTTAAAGCAGTAACGTACGTCAAACAAAATGGAATGATTTAATTTCCTTAAAGTAAATGAAAAAAACACACAAACATGGCTTTGGGCCTCCTGGAATGCTTATAGACTTACCTTTTTAAAACAAATTCAATACTAGCTTATTACTATTTTTAGATAATGGATTATAAAAACAGAGTAGATGCAACAGATTCCACACATTACCAATGATTCAACAATCAGCCGATACCTTAAACATCTCCATGCCATAAAACAGATAAATAAAAGGATAAGGTAGTGAAATGCCCACTTAAGCATATGCCTTAAATCTTAACATTTTGTTTGACATATGGTACTACTTGAAGACACAAACATGGCTTTGGGCCTCCTGAAACACTAATAGACTTACCTTTCTAAAACAAATTCAATACTAGCTTGTTACTATTTTTAGATAATGGATTATAGATCCAGAGTAGATGCAACAGATTCCACACATTACCAATGATTCAACAATCAGCCGATATCTTAAATATCTCAAGCCATAAAACAGATAAATGAAAGGATAAGGTAGTGAAATGCCCACTTAAGCATATGCCTTAAATCTTAAAACAAACTCATTTAAGAGAAAATCCATTGGACCTTGACAAGTAAAAGAGGCTAAATAAACATTATTAGAAACCTCAATTCAGAAGGCACCTTCAAATTGTCTTCAAGAATACGGGTAAAATAATTCTGCAATTCAGATCCTCGGAAGTACGTTAGGATCTCCTGCCAATCTGGAGGATTCTGCAAAAGGAGGATCATAAAAGGTAACCATGTATAAATTTAAAATAAAAATAATAAAAATAATAAAAAAGAATTAGTAAGATAGCCAAGAGAATTACATTGAAACGGCCCAAATTAGGTTTCAATTTTCCAGCCAAAACTTTAAGGGCAGTTGACTTCCCAATACCATTAGTTCCAACCAATCCAAGAACTTGCCCAGGCCTTGGGACTGGTAACCTGCAATTGAAATTTTCCTCAAATCCAAACAACAAAAAATTGGAAGCACTCATTATATAGGAACTGCAGTTGTAAATTAACCTGTGCAATTTGAAGGTGTTAGGGCCATAGCGATGGGTTGTATCTTTATCCAAGTCTTTTGGCAAATTAATGATCTGGATTGCTTCAAATGGGCATTTCTGCATCGGCAGATTAAACAAAAATTAGCCTAAACATCCTGTTAATCGCTAGTAGGCAACACAATTTTCACAAAAAAAATGGACTCATTGTATTTGACATGCCTTAACACAAATACCACATCCAATGCACAACTCCTCTGAAATGAATGCAATCTTAGATGCAGCAGTGACCTCAATACAGAGTTTACCTGCAAATATATAGCAAGTATGGGTTAAAGAAGCATAAATCTATAGCACAAAACGAGTCTAATGAGCAAGGCAATCTCCCTTTCTTTTCTAATAGAAGAAGAAGGTACATGATAAGGGAAGTAAACATCAAATAAATTCCTTAACAATCTGCCTTTAGTTACAAATACAAAACCCTAAAGCCCAATTTAGGAAACTACTATCGCGTTTACAGTAAAGAGTCCTACAATTCAAAGATACAAAATAAATTCTCTGTACACAATTGAACAATCTCACAGAAAAATGCACAATGACCCAACTCTCATATGCTGTGAAGCACGAACATGGACACGAGAGACACGAGTACGACACGAGACACGGGTATGACACAACATGGCGATACAGCAAATCTCAAAAAAAAATAGGGCACGGACACGGCAAGGATACGGCAATAAAATAATAATATAATTTATTTTTATATATATGAAATTAATTTTTGCTAAATTTCTTTTATTTATATCCATAAATATTATATTTAAGACCCACCATACATCTCATATTTCTATTAAAAAATAAATAAAGGTGTACAAGCCCAAATGAACCAGGGATGTCTTTGTATCCAAAAGTAATTCTTGTAACCAAACACCTAGTAAAAGTGATAAGATTTGTTATCTCTCTTTCATTGACAAAGTGACACATCCATCTATCTCTTCCCATCCTTCTCTCTTTCATTGACACGTCTATTTCTTTCCATCTCTCTCTCATCCCTCAATCTCTTCACATTCTGAAAAGGTTCTTCTTCTCCAACTCTTTCCCGTCCTTTTCTTCGTCAAGACCTCATCGTCCGTGCTTTTCTTCATCAAGACCTCATCGTCATGCCGATTAACCAACTGTCCAACCTTAGGTTGAGTGACCGGCCCTGAATTGACTTATCGGATCAAGTCAAGGGCAACAGCCCCAAACGATCTGAGCCTATTGTATTATTTTACAGTTAATAGAATAATTTGTATGTGGATTCTTAGGGTTTTTCTCTGTTTATTATATATAGGGAATGGATATATACACATACATATATCATCTTCTTCTCTATTTTTTTCCAAACAAAAAGGCTTGATTGGACTGAGACGTGTCATCTGGTGTGTCCTCCGACGTGTCCAATCAATAAAAATAAAATAAAATAATCAGATACTTCTATCTACCAAGTGTCGGACACGTGTCCAAGCGTTGGACACATGTCCGACACCGGTACATTGCAACACCAAGCCGTATCGGAAGTTATTGCTGCCTTATAGCACATAAAACATAACACTAAATTATGTATTCTTTCATTGACTAGTCTATTGCTTCTATAAGCACTTTTGAGCATCATTGACAACCCGCACACCTAATACTTTGGGATAAGATATAGCACTAACATTTGTTAAGAGCATATGGCAGTTTCTTTTCTTTCTTTCCACCTTTCTTGTTTTGATACTTTTATGTCTTGTGAAGCATGTATATGTTTAGTTATGTGTTCACATTTTATGGTATGCAAACCCGGTTGAAATTTATGTGCCTGCATCAACAGATTGTTATTGTTTTTTTTTTTCTTTTTTTTCAATTGAGATGTAAAGATTTATTTTTATAGTAAATAATGCAGACTAAGAATATATAGCATATGTAAAAGGAAGAAGACAAAGAGAAACAAAGTTAATAATATGGACCACTTTAATTAAGTGAGACACCGATCAATTGTGAGATAGATAAAAAAGGCTATGTGTAAGGCATCTCACTCCTCAAGGATTTTTTAAAAACATCTAAGGAGTCACTACTCAACTAGATGGAAAATGGAAATTTTGGGAGGACCTAAACCTAAAATCCACACCATGAATGACCCAATTGGGAGGACCAAAAATATATAGCCGATTAAGAGAAGAAAAATAATATTTTTCTCTGACGGTAAGAACCAATGAAAAAGAATAATTTAAGGAGATAAACCATTGAAATAAATATGTGTTACCGGTTTTAACAACAGGACAACTCTTTTTGCATTCCTGACGGCACTTCTTGGGCTTGCAACGGTCGGAGCTGACGATGGCGATACGAGTCAATCGATCCGCCATCTCTCTGTCTATATAGATAGACGAACAAACACGATGATGGAGATCGAATCGAAGGTTTATCAAACCCTAAGCCTCTGTGCTTCAAACAATCAAATATAGATAGAGGGACTCAGTACAAACACAATCAAAAGATATATACAGAAATAGATATAGAGAGAGAAATTGAAGAGGAGAATAACCTAGCAAGATTTCAATGAGAGAGAGTGTCGTGTGCTGGGAACGGGAAACTCGTATTAGCTGAACGAGCAACGCCACCTCTACAGAGCGCTTGTGGCGTAGTGCTCACGCATATATTGCCGGTGGGATTTCTAGGGTTCGATTGGTCGAATGTGTATCTGCCACATGCCGTAAGGAACGGCATCGTTTGGCGTCTTTCCTTTTCCTTTTTTTGACCTTTTTTTGTCTGTTTTTTGTCCCTTTTTTTTTTTTTTTTTTTTTTTTTTTTTTTGGGTAATATTATTTTTATAATATATTCATTACTACGTAGTAATATTGATTATATATTGTATTATTCATTGTCTATCTATATCTATATTTTACTTTATTGTTTTTATTTTATTATATATATATAATTAAAAATACTATTCCTCTGCCAACATAATTCTTTTCATGAAAATAATCGGGCATAGAGAAATTTTATTGAGGAATATCAACCTTATATGAGTATATATAATAAATGACTTCTTTCTAACAAAGTAGGGGAAGGAAATTTAAATACGGGCATATCCAATCCAAGCGCTATATAGCCTTTTTCCTATTGAATTTCGGGACTTAAATTTAGTCGGTAATATATATAAAATCAAATTAAACAATGTAAGTCTTACAAATAACAAACTATCATATACAAATCTGCTTTATTTTTATCTATTTCATTTAGGTTTGTTTAAACGTAAAATATTTTTTGTGTTTTATTGAGGATGCAGTAAGTGGCATGGGCCGGATATAGCTTACTGGTATGGGATCGGGTCGAACAATTAAAGTATGGCCCATGCAAAAGCACCACAGAATGGCCCGAACCTGGAGGATCCACTAAGGAAGAACAAGCCCATTGGAAAATCAGGCCCAAAAGGAAGAAAACCCTTGGAAATAGGCCCAATGTAATCAGTTAGCGATAATAATTGTAATGGTCTATTTATAGACCATTACAGGTGGATAAGAGGGGGATTTTTTTTTCTATTGAAATGTAAGAATTCTAGAGAGAGAAAGAGTGAAGAATTTCTTGCATCTTCAATTGGCGTCGTCTGTGGGAAAGAAGAAGAAGATCGATTCGAGCCTGATCAGTACCATATTAGTTCAATCAAGTTTGTGAGTACACAGTGTGATTTCTGGAAGTTGATTCTGGATCAGTGAGATTGTAGTTTGTTCAGAGAGAATTATTGCTTATTGTGGATTCTGAGGCATTTGCTTCGGAATGACACAATTGTGATTTGCTCAATTGTACTTAGATCCGGTGAGTTCAAAGCTTGGAAAGTTTAGATCTAGCAAACAGTGATCACGATTTGGTGAAGTTGAGCCCAGATCTAACGGAGTTTGCATCGGTGACGCTCAGATCTGTTTCGGAGTTCGTAATTCATGCCTTTGCTTTGATCCGGAATCATGATAGGGGGTTAGAACTCCAATACGGTCGAGAACGTCCAACAAGTGAAACTTGATGAGTTGATGAACATGATCGAAGCTCTCTGGAGAGAAAATGCGGATCTAAGGACTGAAATGCAGCGTCAAGAAACTCCAGTAATTCCGCGGCCACTCCCGGTATGAGAAGAAGGTGCACGTACCGATGCAGCACATCACGGTGAGAAGGTCGGAAATAATCTGGTTAATCCTCACCGTGAGGAAATCCGGCGAGACGGTTTGTCGCCAAATCTTCGTCGTATTGATGTTCGTGAAGGATCAACTCACGTGGATCCACGGCGTGAGCAGATCAGGCGAAACGAAGCAATGACTTTTGATCCACATCAAGAAACGCTCAGCCGAGGTGAAGCAACAGAGTTGGATCGTCACAAAGCTGTTCCTCCATGGCGCAAAGACTTTATTGATGACAGGTCATTCGATCCGACCTATCGGCCTTCCATGACAACGTTCGATTATCACGGCTCAGAGAGGAGGTCTGTAGACCAGAGAGCAACCGCGGGGTTCCAGAGAGAAAATGAAGCACTCCGTTCAGCAGCTCGAACGGTTGATTCACCGTTCACCGATGAGATTCTGAATGCTCCGAATCCGAGGAAATTTTCCATGCCCGTTTTCATTCTCTTCGACGGAACGACCGATCCGATCGATCATGTGTATCACATCCAGTTGAAAATGGCTCTGAACACTGAGAATGACTCTTTGATGTTCAAGTGCTTTCCTACGAGTCTAGCTGAACCAGCTCTGAATTGGTTCAAGAACCTGCCGAGGGGTTCAGTGGATAGTTTCTGAAGCTTGTGTGATCGGTTCATAAGCCAATATTATGGAAACAAGCGTCCAGCGAAAGATATTTCGAGCTTATTCACAATGAAGCAACATACAGATGAGCGTCTCCAGGCTTTCCTAATCAGGTTTAACCTTACCAAGAGTATGGTTATTGAATGTCACCCTTCAACGGCAGTTCAAGCATTCATACTGGCCATGACCCGAGGCACCCCATTCCACACAAGCTTGGTGGTGAACACGCCTAAGACTATGGATGAACTTAACGAAAGAGCCGATAGATTTGTGCGCTTGGAAGAAGAAGAGGCGGCAAATGCTCGGAAGACATCCGTCATATCCACGGAAGAAAAGACCAAAGCAAAGATCAGACAAAAGCAGGTTCAACCGCAGCGCTCCTCGTGGAAATTTGAGAAGAGGCCCAGAGAAGAAGAGCTGGTTACTCCATTGAAAGTTACCTTAGCAAGACTGTACCAAGAAAATAAAGATAAGTTCCGACCTCCTTTACCAATCAGACAACCCCTCGAACAGAGAATCAGTCTAAGCACTGTGCATTTCATTCTGACTTTGGCCACCAGACTAACGAATGCAGGAACCTAAGGAGACAGGTAGAGATGCTGATAGCCAGAGGGGAGTTCACAAGTTATATTTAAGGCCCAGAGGTGGAACAGAACCGACCAATGGAGCACGTGAAGAGGAATCAGAAGTCGAATTCTCACAACACGCAACCAGTTCGAATAATCAATGCAATTCACGGTCGGCTAGAACCTGCTGAAAAGTCAGATGAACTACTTCGAACACGCCTTCGCCAGGCACAGATGAATAGAATAGGCAGTGTAAACACTCTGCACCAACAGAACACATCAACGCAGATAAAGTTTGACGTAACAGACCTATTGCGTGTTCAGATCCCTCATGAGGACCCGCTGGTCGTAAGTCTGACAGTGGCCAAATGCTTGGTACGCAGAGTTCTAATTGACCCTGGAAGTAGTGCGAATGTCATGCCAAGGGATATATTCGATCGGCTCGAGATCAAACAGGATCGGCTGAAATCCACCAGGAATCCACTACTAGGGTTTGATGGAAAACGAGTGGAGCCCATCGGTACGGTGGAGGTAGCGGTACATGCTGCCGAGAGGGTTTTGATGGAAACTTTTGTGGTTATTGAAATTCATCCCTCTTATAATCTTCTGATGGGCAGAGGGTGGATCCACAGAGTTCAAGGTGTTTCTTCCACTCTGTATCAGGTAATGAGATGCCTGGGGCCAGACGGGACCAAAGTGATTGACATTCATAGAGACCAGGTTGCAGCTAAAGAATGTTATTCGGTAACACTGAAACATGCCGGAAAGGGGAAAGCTCCCATTCGTTCGGCAAGTCCGAGATAGCAATTACAGGAGCCTCTCTCCAAGCAGAATGGGGAGGAGGAACCAGTGGACTTGACTGAAGAACCCCTGTTTGATGTGCAGATCGATCAGTTCCGACCGGAACGAACTACCAGAGTGGGGGAACGACTTGTTGAGGAGGAAAAGCAGGAATTAGTTGATTTTTTGTCTCAAAACGTAGATGTGTTTGCATGGAGTCACCTAGACATGCCGGGGATCGATCCTTCTGTATCTTATCACTCCTTGAACGTTAATCCCAGCGCAAAACCTGTAAAGCAAAAGCAGCGACGGTTTGCTCCCGAGCGCAATCGAATCATTGCCGAGGAGGTTGACAAGCTATTTAATGCGGGGTTTATAAGAGAAGTGTACTACCCTGACTGGTTGTCAAATGTTGTCGTTGTGCAGAAGAAAAATGGGAAATAGTGCGTATGCATTGATTTTACCAATTTAAACAAAGCTTGTCCAAAGGATAGCTTCCCGCTGCCAAAGATTGATCAGATGGTGGATGTAACTACTGGATATAAACGTTTGACCTTTTTAGATGCTTATTCAGGTTATAATCAGATCCCCATGGACCCCGCTGATGAAGAAAAAACTTCTTTCGTTACCGAACGCGGGACGTATTGCTACAAAGTCATGCCATTCGGACTGAAGAACGCCGGAGCAACTTACCAAAGACTTATTAGCAGAATTTTTGAGGAACAAATAGGGAAGACAGTGGAAGCTTACATTGATGACATGGTGGTAAAAAGTAAGAAGAAAGCTGATCATGTGAAACATCTGTGAGACGTGTTTGATGTGTTGAGGCAATATGGAATGAAGCTCAATCCAACCAAGTGCTCATTCGGTGTAAGTTCAGGCCAATTCTTGGGGCACGTGGTTAATCTCAGAGGCATCGAGGCAAGCCCTGCCCAAGCAGATGCTCTGACTAAGAATGCCGAGCTGACGACAGTTAAAGAAGTGCAAACACTTACGGGACGAATTGCTGCACTGAGTCGGTTCATTTTCAAATTGTTAGATTGATGCAAACCATTTTTTGACACAATAAGAAGCCACGGCAGGCAAGTTTGGGGGGATGAACAGCGCCTAGCGTTAACTGCTCTGAAAAAGTATATGCAGAACCTTCCGGTACTGTCAGCTCCAGAATCGGGCGAAAAGCTGTTTTTATATCTCGGAGTATCCAGCATCGCGACAAGTGGTGTTCTGATCCGCCACGCAAAAGGGAAGCAATATCCAGTGTTCTATATTAGCAAGACAATGACTGAGGTCGAAAGACGTTATTCAAAGGCAGAGCGGGTGATACTCTCGCTACTGCATGCGAAAAGAAAGCTCAGGCATTATTTTGAATCCCATCCTATCATCGTTCTAACCACTTTCCCTATCAAAAGAATCCTGCACAAACCAGATTTCTCAGGAAGAATGACAAAGTGGGCCATAGAGTTAAGCTCATTTGATATCACATACGAACCTAGAACAGTAGTCAAAGGGCAAGCGGTGGCAGATTTTTTACTAAAATGTGATTCAGAG